CCTTTCATGACTTTAAAACCGCTAAAGGTGTTTAAAAAGTCAAAGTGAGTGGAATAAAACGAACCCATTGCAGGTCGATCAAACTTAATGCGGTTCTGTAAAACCGCCTTTTGTTGTTGTCTGAAAGTTAAAACAGCCCCTAACACCGTTTCATTCTTCATGTCAAGCGAATCTGACAGGAGTGTCTGTGATTGCGGTGCAGTAGGATTTTGAGAAAGGCGTCCACGTTGACATGATTGATGCAAGGTGTGCTGTTACCACGACTTCAAAGGTGGCTATATTTGATTTGGCAACTCTTGCACTTAAGGACTTATCTACTCACGGCGTGGAGGTATGTTTTCTAATTCCTGAGGGTTCAGAAGATTTATGAATCGCCGTCTTTGGCAGTCTGCTGCCCCCATAACGATTCAGCCAGCTAGAGCATACTTGACTCCAACTAGAGATATCAAGAGAGCCTTTTTCCATTTACAATAATTTATACTAGTCTCACAATCACTTTTTGTATTCGTGCTTACTTTTACAGATATTTCCACCGCAAAAGGATACCCGAGCAGCAAAAAATGTATAACGTTGATGGAAAGGGATCACAAGATATCACCATAGCTTTACTACAGATCGTGAGGAGCGTTATGTAGAAAAACAGAAACTAAAAAAAAGGTATTGTGGTTAGATTTATCTTTAGTAAGCGGTCACCGTTACTAGAATAAAAATTGCAGAAATACACCACAGAGCTATACTAGCCATTGGAAGCAGATAGGGATGCGTTTAAAGCACATTGTAATGGGATTCCATGTGCATGCAATTTAAGTTACCAAATGAATATACTTTACAACGTTGAACTTTAATTTGACAATTTTTGACGAGGAGAGCAGTTTGTTGGCAGGTCTGCCAAGTGTGTCCTACTGCAGTTAAGATGGTATACGGATTAGTCAGTGTTAGGTAGTAATTGATTGCCCATGCTGAACGAAACGAGCTAGAACTTTGACGCATTTCATATTATCGTTACATCGCTGTTATTATTGTTGCAAGAGAAATGCTATATTAATATATGGATTTCATTTTAGCTGTGGGATATTCAGCGCCGGTTAAGCTTTTACCCACTATATCTTTTTGTTGGTGCATTATAATTTTGTACACTACTTAACTTCTACTCGAAAGCCAAAGAAGTATATAAGACCAAGCGGACTTGTGGAGAGAAATACCCATTTCCTTGTTGATCGAAGTGAACGAAGTTTGTGAGCCAAGTTGGCACTTTTTGAATGAAGTATTACCATCTCTGATATCGGTGAGTGGAAGGGTTGGGTTTAAAGCCCTTCGAATTCAGAGGTACTCACTAGTATAAGTAAATTCAAGAGCTGGAAGACAGTCATCATAATTATCCAATTGCCATTGCTTTTACTTTTTTGCCTTTATATTTCCAAAGCATTTACGCTCTCTAAGCTTTGCCGCTTCTTTCTGCAATCCTTCCTTACTGCACTGCTTTCCAATTTTGGATTAATTGGCGTCGGGTAAAGCCTTGTCGACAAGTGCTCTGTGGGAGGTAGAAGCAACCATGTGCGGTTTCGTCTCTTTTATTCATTGCTGAAATAAAAGGCTCTAGAAATTATGCTATTTTCCTTTGGTGTATGTGTACTACACGTCTTTTGTACATTATGGCGACAATAGCTTGGACGTAGAGAAAGAGAAATGTGCACAGCTGTGTTTTTTACTCCACTAGTGCATTACGTCCTCTCTGGCAGTGTTCTGCGTTACTTTTGCAAGGCAGTGCCTCCTTTGTATGGAGAAGACCGTATAGAGTGGAGCCTTGATGACAAATGGTGAACAGGATTTGGAACTAGAGAATTGCATCGTTTCCTTTTTTACCTGTTTATTTGTTTTTATTTGTTTGTTTATTTGTTTTCTCAGTGATAACATAGTAAATGCCACTAACAATAAATTTGCCACAGTCATTCAATGTTGTCTTCGCAATTATTGGTAGCGAATTCCACCTTGTTCAAGGATCTTTTACGAGCAAATT